TACTCTCACTTTATCCATGTGGAAAGTTAGGCCCACAGATGCTCAGTAATTTGACCAACATCACAATGTGAGCCAGCAGCAGAGCTAAGCACAGAATCCAGGCCTCCCCAGCCAGTGCCTTCACTAAGGGACCACCCTACCTTCACCCACTCCAATTTCCTCTGCAAGTTCTGAAGACATCTGTTTTATTATTAATTACTTTGCAAGCCAATGTGAGGGAAATTGTTCCGCTTTGCACTGTGCTTCGGAGTATGGGGCTGACCCAACTCCCATCCAAGTAAATGAAAGGAGTCCATCCATGAATATGCTGCCTCGACAGCAGATTTCCCTTTCCCCACAACTCAGAATTCCTCCCAGCACACAAAGGATGACTGCATTTGGAGCTAATTTGGGACATGCTGTAAGCTGCTTCATAAATGTAAACCACATATATGCTTCCCATTTAGATATGTTTGGACTATCAAACTAGGTTTTCACTTTGTCTGTATACAGTGGGGGTGTACCAAAATTAGGACAGGGTAAGCAATGAGTAAAAGTAAGACTCTTACTCAGAATTTGGCTCATTGGTCCAGAGTCTGAGCTCAGAGTTGTTGGTGTGAATCCTCAGTGACACCATTGACTGCAGTCGAGATACAGCAGATTGACACCAATACAACTGAAATACGAATCTGGACCATTGGGTTTCAGTATTGCTGTTTACATATTATTTATCTTGTTTGTTTACATTGGATCTGATTTGAAGCCAAGTCTGTTCTAGTCCACACTTTTTCCTGCTGGCATTTTTTCAGAAGGAAATAACTACAAGTACAGTTTTTGCATCCACAAATTTCTGCAGGAACTGAACAAATTAGGTCATTTAACTCTCTAAGTACCACCTATGTGGCGACAATCCAAGTAGTTAAATGTCTGATGGGAGAGATGGCACCCAAGAAGGCTAGGTTTTCAGGTCCATCATGAATAAATTAAGGGCACTCTTATTATAAACATTGTTACGAATTATACCTGAAAGGACACGCACACAACTGCTGCGAATTACGGCAGGCTGGAGACAAGGAGGAGGATTTTCACAGGGATGCAGTATCTAAGGAACACTCCTCCTGGTGCATGATGTGCTTGCGTTTAGACAATGGTGGGCCCCAAACCAAAATGGAGTCACATGTGCTAACTTTTCCTTAACACATTAAGAATGTGTTAGTTTGGCCAACCCGAACTAGGGATATTTTCGCGATCTCATTGCTGCAGCAAACATAAATGAACAGCACCCTCTAATGTCGTTCTCTTTGAAGCAGCATAGTATTTGTACAAGTTACAAACCCACCTGCATCGCAAAGAAGTGAATAAAGATGAGTGGGGTTGATACTGTTTTCCTTACAAACATGAGTCACAAAGTATTTCAGCAAATAAAACCATGAAAATAAAATGCACTGTAGAGTCTTAGGAGCTTATACAGTTCTGCTGGAACTAGCAGTGATTCATGGAAACCCATTTAGATTTCTTCAAGGCATAGACCTTGTCTTCCTATGGCCTGGTATAATACTTAGCCCAGCATGCGACCTTTGGGCATTGCTATAATATAAATGATAAATCATAATAAAGATTCAGGAAACTGCCTTCATGTCAGGAAATTTGTAGGCATCTTTACAATGAAGATTATCTTTCCTTGTTAATTGGAAAAAGGGAGAATTGGTATGTCCTTTTTAGGCAATGCTATAGTCTTTACTGCTTTATCCTATTCTATACAGGCTTCTATAACATGCCCATCATTAGGGCCCTACCAAATCCATGGCCATGAAAAGTGCATCATGGACCATGAAATCTGGAGTCCCCCTGTGAAATCTGATCTTTTGTGTGCTTTTACCCTATACAGATTTCATGGGGGAGACCAGTGTGAGTGAGGGGGGAATTTGATAGCAGCCTTCAACTACCTGAAGGGGGGTTCCACAGAGGATGGAGCTCGGCTGTTCTCAGTGGTGGCAGATGACAGAACAAGGAGCAATGGTCTCAAGGTGCAGTGGGGAAGGTCTAGGTTGGATATTAGGAAAATCTATTTCACTGGGAGGGTGGTGAAGCACTGGAATGGGTTACCTAGGGAGGTGGTGGAATCTCCATCCCTAAAGGTTTTTAAGGCCCGGCTTGGCAAAGCCCTGGCTGGGATGATTTAGTGGGTATTGGTCCTGCTCTCAGCAGGGGATTGGACTAGATGACCTCCTGAGGTCTTTTCCAACCCTAGTCTTCTATGATTCTCAAATTGGGGGTCCTGATTCAAAAGAAAGTTGCAGAGGGGTCACAAGGTTATTTTAGGAGCATCGCGGTATTGCCACCCTTACTTCTGCGCTGCCTTCAGAGCTGGGCAACCAGAGAGCGGTGGCGGCTGACTGAAGGCCCAGCTCTGCAGGCAGCAGCGCAGAAGTAAGGGTGGCAAGACCACACCATGCCATTTTTACTTCTGCGCTGCTGCTGGCAGCAGCTCTGCCTTCAGAGCTGGGCTCCCAACCAGCAGCTGCCGCAGTCCTGCCGCCCAGCTCGGAAGGCAGCGCCAGCAGCACAATAGTAAGGGTAGCAGTATCCCACCACCCCTATAATGCCCTTTTGGTACACACACACACACACACAACTGCTTTTTGGGTCAGACCCCTTCAATTATAACACTGTGAAATTTCAGATTTAAATAGCTGAAATCATGAAATTTACTATTTTTAAAATCCTAAGACTGTGAAATTGACCAAAATGGACCATGAATTTGGTTGGGCCCTACCCATCATCATGGTATGTGAGCATCTGCAGTATTAAAGTAACCATTTGACATGGCACAATTAGAACCTAGTTTTAATATACATTTGGTATCCCTTTTATGGATTGTACAGAATACTCCAGAATACTGAAGAACTGGATTTCCCTCTGCTTCCAGCTACACCAGAGGTTCCCCAACTGGGGGGGACGTGCCCTCCGTGGGGGGCACGGAAGGTATTCTGATGGGGGCGTGGGAAGCTTTAGGGGAAAAAAACCTTACCTCACACATTCAGAACTGGGTGGCAGGAAAACAGCAGCTGCTGGCCAGGCCCCGGGGTGTGTGTGTGTAAACTAATACAGACGCAAAGAAGGGGGACGTGATGAAATAAGTTTGAGACCCACTGACCTATATGATGCTAAACTATTGCAATGATATTGGAAGCATGTAAAGAACTCACATGAATTCACATGAATTTAGTTTTGAGGTTCAGACATAGATGTTTGCTTGATGGAAATTAAGAACATTTCTTTTTTAACCAGAAACACGGCATTGCTGTGTTATTTTTATCAAAGTAGCACATTCTTTCTTAATATTGCAAATGTCTGGTATATTCGGGCAGACTTCAGCAGCCATTTTCACCGTTTCAAGGATGTTTGCTCAGCGAGACTTGATGGAAAATCACCTGCGTTCTCATTGTATGTTCCTGGAAAAGACACAAATTAAAAACACACACACACATACACTCAAGATCCTTCCATGTCTGCTTAAATTAGCCCAGATTCTGTCAGTTTTTTGTTTCTTTTCTCATAACCATCTCATCAAAGTAGCAGCCAAAATAACAATTCTATCAAAGGTCAGAGGTGCAAGGTTTCCAACATGAACGGGAAAAGGGTGCTTTGATCACAGAGTCTAATGCAAAAACGCCATGCATGGGACTCTGCTCCAAGATCCATCAGTTTTCAAAGACATGGAAGGCAGAAACAGCCAAGAGAAGAAACAAGAGTTGGCGCAACAAAAGTCAATGCCCTCCTGTCTTGTGGAGCTGCTTTCTGTGCTGCAAAGACCCTGTGGCGTTTCATCCCCTCCACCTGCTGTCTGCAGTAGCCCTGGTGCAGAGAGCAAAGGCCTTGTACATAACAGAATTTGTTCCTCTTCTGCAGGGCGGAAGTCACAGTGGTTAAGAGAATAAAACCACAAGATCTGAAAAAATACCATGAGGGTCGTGGGCCGCTCTTGGTGGGTTTTACACAGCACAGACCCTCAGCACTGCACAAAGTTGTTTTTGCAAAGCGTTTGCAAGCATAGTAACACCTGACTGAAGGCATGGGTGCAACTAACCTAGATCCCAACTCTGTGTTTTTTTCATAGAATTTACTGTAAACACAGGTATATCTGATTGTGTGCTATATCCTGCTTAGTATATAAATAAAATAGTGTGTTTTGAAATCCACATTATAACATTATAGCATTATGGCATTTCACTAAGACTCTGGCTTGGTGTACACTAAAAACTGACGTTGATATAACTGCATCACTTGGGATATGGAAAATTCACATCCCTGCCACAGTTATACTGACCTAACTCCCAGTGTAGACAGTACTATGTCGATAGGAGAGCTTCTCCCATTGACATAGCTACTGCCTCTCGGGGAGGTGGATTACCTGTGCCGATGGGAGAAGCCCTCCCGTTGGCATAGGTAATATCGTCACTGAAGCAGGCCTTCAGTGTAGTAAGCCCTCGGTGTAATGCAATGAACTTTTCCATCAGGAAATAGGAGATATGGGATTTGAACACTGAGATCTAAACCATGGGTTCTTAACCTCGGGTCACAACCACCTTGTACTTCCCATATATCTCAATGGGAAGAGGGTTGCGACTAGATCCCAGTTAGATGGGAAGAGAGTTTGAGAGTGGATCCCAATATGGAAAAAACTGAGAGCCACCCATCTAAAGGATCCAGTGCTGCTCCAATCAACATTCATTTTAGTGAATGGTAAAGGAAAAGTACAGTCACTGGCAAGAAGATAGATACATGACAGATCATCCCTGATTACAATGCAAAGGTGTTTGGCCTTAAATGAAAAGATAATTGAAACCAATATTTAAAAATGAATCAAGACTGGCTTAGAGATTAATTCTTCTCCTCTTGGTTCACTTAATTTTGGAGGCTGAGAAACTTTCCTACGATGTTTGCTGACATCACATCCTTCCGAAAAGCACTACGTCCTATCAAGCCAAACGAGCAAATTCATCTTTGCTCTGCTGCGCCTTTCTTGAGAAGAGTCAGCACAAGGAGAAATGGCCAGATTCGTTTCTTTGCTGTTTTTTCTCAGTCTGAGCTTGTGTGAGTACAGAATCGCTATTTAGTGTAACCTCTTTAAGAAGGGTAATTAATAATGGGAGTTTAGGGTGGTCTCTCCAGAGTCATCTGGATGGAGGAGTCAAAACAAATGGGCAAGGAGTCAAAACAAAGATTAACAAGCAAACAAACCCACCAGATTAATTTTCAGTTTGGGGTTTTACTTTGTTTCTGCGAGTGAATAGAAGAAAATGGCCCAGAGCCTGAGTTCCGGCATGCAGATTTACTCCAGCATGACTGAGAGCAGAGTCTGGCCCAAGGATTTTTTTGGGTTCCAGCACAGTTAAGACCAATGCATCATTTTAAAAAACTGAGTATGCATCCGATGAAGTGAGCTGTAGCTCACGAAAGCTTACACTCAAATAAATTGGTTAGTCTCTATGGTGCCACAACTACTCCTTTTCTTTTTTTAAAAAACTTGGTACATGTCAGTGTAACCCGAGCTTTCACCCAGATGGCTTCTCTGCATCAGATGATCTATTGAACGAGGGCAGCCATTGTAAGGGCTAGGGCAATCGCTGAGCACACTGTAGACCTGAATCCTAGCAGTCACTGAAATGCATTACTCGAGTCTGCCTGAAAGCATGTTGATCCCTTAGCCCTGTGTAATAGTCTTGGTTCACTGCTCTGGGTGTCTGCATGGCACTAATCAGCGAGGATGGAGCTTTGAGTGAGGTCTGAGACCCCAGTAAGGAGAATACGGCTTGGGATGGTGCTGAGGACACTCTCTGTGGATGGGTGTGACTGTGCTGATAACTGCTGGCTGGATTTCTCTCCCTCAGGCTGCTGCAGATCCCAGGGCCAGAAAAGAAAAATGAGTGTGAGGCTCCACAGGGGCAGCATCCCCCTTTCCCTGCGAGCCAACGTGGAGCTGGAGTGTGTGATCTCAGACCACAGCCTGTCCGACAGCGGTGTGTCCTGGGTGCGCCAGTACAGGGATTCTGCCCCCCAGTTCATATTGTTCGTTACCTCCCTTGGCCGGGTGGCAGCGACAGAGAATGGAAAACCACCCGAACGCTTTCAGGCGAAAAAAGAATCCAGCAACTACAGACTGACCGTGACGTCCTTCCAGGAGCAGGACCAGGGCAATTATTACTGCATCGTCAACCACAACCAGAGACTGCACTTCAGCTCCGGGATCCCACTACACCTGCCAGGTCAGCATGAACCTCACCCCATTTCAGCCCCCTCTGCTTGTGCTGGAACCCCAGCATTCCCCCTCCATCCCAGCTCAGCATCATCCTTATCATCCTCATCACCCCTCAGACCAGGCCCTTTCTTCCTGTGTGCCCAGGTGGGCAGGTGTCAGGGGTCTCTGTACAGAGCCCCGTGCCCAGGACACCCCTCTCAATGTTTCGCTTTCCCTGAATGTCTCAGCCACGCGGACTCCTGGCATCTTCCTCACCCTCCTTCTCCGTCACTCCCCTTCACCTCCACTCACTGACCGTAACTGTCAGCAGTTGGGTGTCCCAGAGCAGGGTGTTGGTTTCCCCGTAGGGTCCTAGTGATCCCCCTCCTTCAGGAGACTGGAGACAATGGGATAGATGCCTGTTCACTTTCCCCTCCCAGTTCCCAGTCATGCTTCAGCATGGATAACACCGTGGGAATGATGCTCAAAATACTGGCATCCCCTTCAACCCAACAAACCCCATCACTGACACCCCCTTCTACCCAACAAATCCCATGTGACCAGGGTCCCAATGGGGAGCCAGCTGTGGTCACTCAATTAGGGTGAACTGCAAAGAATGGGGCAGACAATCCCCAAGACAGCATAAAACAGCTTCTTTATTACATTACTGGTTACTCAGAACTCCAAACAACACAGTTCCCTTAAACTGATCCAGCTTCAGGCCTCCATCCGGGTACCCACGTCAAATATGATGATTTCTGAAAATCTTATTTTATCATATAAAAGAAAAGGCTCTACCAATCCCAAAGAATCGGACACGTCACCTCTCAGGTTAATGAATGTTTCAGATCTTCCCCAAATACATGCTACAGCCAATTCTTATTAACTAAACTAAAATGTATTAAAAAAAACAAAAGAGAGTATGGTTAAAAGATCAATATACATACAGACATGAGTTCAATTCATTTAGGTGCAGATTCATAGCAGAGATGGTGAGCTTTGTGGTTGCAAAGAGTTCCTTTAGAATTCAGGTTCATAGGTCTTAGTCCAATGTCCACATCTCATATTCAGGGCGTACCAGCATCACTGGGACCTCAGTCTTGCGACTCAAACTTCCCCTGATAAAGCCTAAGCAGATCTGAGATGACAGAATCAGGACCCAAGGATCTTTTTTTCCAATTTCATGTATTTTGACAAGTTTGAGTTCTTCAGGAAACAAAAGGTAATTAGGGTGACTTTGAAGGAGGTCCGTCACCGGTACTTAGCTATCCAAATTAACATAATGCCATTTGCTTGTTCCTCCACCATTCACAGTACATTTCAAAGAGAGAGGAATACTGAGATATCCCGTGTTTACAATTCATTTACATGATAGGATGTTCTTTTGACCTCTGAATTATCAGAATACAGCATAGACAGGGACAGTTGATTACATTGTCCATCCTACTTATACATATGGAAATACATAAAAACACAAACATTATCTCCCCACATGTCTTCTGTGGGTTATTTATTTTCCAGGATATTTAACCCTTTCTAGCCTGCATCAAACCCCCAATGTGAGACTGGTGTGGAAGGGTGAAATTAGAGCTCCTGGATACACCTTAAGGACCTTCCAACAGTGATATGAGCTGTGTTTACATTGAATTCTTTTAAGGCAAAATTATTGAGCCATGCTTTGGCCCCAGCCAAAAACTTAGTACAATATTTGTGAAACACTTTAGTGATTCCAGGGTTTTGTCTATTTATTAACTTAACATAGCCATTAATGTTTTTTAAAGAGCACTTACTCTGGCATTCAGCCATGAAGGCTGTGTGGTGTTGTACCTCAAATTCCCTTTGTGCTCAGCAGTTCAAGCTTGTAGTGGTTTTTCTGCTGTGGAAAGTTTTAGAAATGTGTCTATGCATTAGCTCTGAAACCTTAACATTATTAGGCTCTTTAATACAAAGTGTGTTCTTGTTGAACCAAACAGTATAATCATAAGGGTTTCTATTATGCACCACTCTTAACATGTTCAAGGGATTTTCCAAAAGACCATGCACATCATACATTTTTACAGTTCTTGGTATCAGCAATAAGTTAGTTACAATCATTAGCAAGAACATTAACATCAGTTCTATCATATGTGTACATTTACAATTATTTTTGTCATGCCAAGCCTTTGGTTTTAGACATACTCTTTAGGTCAGCTTGTTCAATATACCTTTTGAACCTTCGTAGCTTTTTCTTGACCTTAGGGTCTTCCTTGTTGTTTTGGTACTTTAGGGTTAACCTGTGGCTTTTATTTGCAAGATTTAATTCTTCCCTTCCTCCCTGTCCAGTAGGGTCAAAATCTGAACTCTTTTGTGTAACAGAATCCATTGGCTGACTCGGTGCATCCTCTTTGCCAATGGCTATGGGCAAGTCTTTCTACCCCCCAGTCAGTCAGGTAATTTGCATCAGCACAGACACTAGCTTGTTTACTAGTTTTCAAATCCTCAACCTTTACCAATTCCAAGGCTGGACTCTGTCTTAAAGTGATACCATCTATTTTCACTAGCATGTTAGACTCAAGGGTTTTTTTGTTCTTCCCTTACCAACCACTGCTTCCACATGGAATCAGATGTCACGTACACTCAGAGACTGTAAGACATATCCAAAATATCTAGAGATGAGAGTTTGCCTGCTCTCCTCTGCATCCTGGTAACCCAGTAACCAGTAACCCGATCTTTCCTCAGTACCTAAGTCACAGACTGCTTACTTAAAGAATCAACATGGAGACATTCATGTTCCAACAACATTGTCTCCCCAACAAGCTGCTTATGCTTATAGGGCTGTTTAAATTCCCTAACAATTTTTATTTCATTTGAAACCTTTTCAAAGCGATCCACACTGGGTCTTTCGAAAGCAAAGTCAGTGGATCTATACACCTCAGAAAGAATCTGGCAGTTAGGAACTGGAACAAGTCTCCTAAACAAACTGTTGCTTTCTCTATGCAGTGATTCACCCTGAGTTAACTCAATCAAATCATTTCCACACCCATCAGTTGCAGCAAACTGCTTGCAAAAACTACCCTGAAGATTTTCCTCTTCAGGAATCTTTCTAAGCAACAACCCATTTTCCACATAAATTCTGCCCTTACTCTTTTCACCTAGGGCTTGCTCTAAAGGAACATTTTCCTGAGCAACAACAAACTCTTTCTGGGTGTCACTTAAATCCAGAATCACTTCTGTCCCATCAGGAGGATTTTCACAAAACCCCCTTTCAGGTTAACTGCTGGACTTCATAGTCACAAGATTAGAAGCATTCTCTTCCTTGTTACAAGTTTCAATACTGTCAGTAGGTAACATAGTCAAATCACCTTCATGATTTCCTTCTGCCCTGGCTATGATATCACCCTGATCAGACAAGGTTGTCGTATCTTTACCCAGCAACACACTAGCAACAGGCAAAATAGAAGCACCAGAATCGCTTGGTCTTTGGGAGCTATCTATGACATCAACTGGATGCAACCTGGTTGCAATGTCATCATCCCTAGCAAACACAAATTTAGGACCACTTCCTTCCTGGGCTTTAGTTATATCCAGAATCAACTCTGGGTCAACTGATAAATTTTCAACCATCATAGGCTAACAGGCTTTTTCTGTCTGCTCTACAAACAGAAAAGAGCTGGAGAAACATTCCCCTTTAACAGACAAACAGCTTGGGATACCATTTCCCTTGTCCCAGCAGACATAGCTATTCACAGACAACTGCTTGGAGACTGGGGTAGCTCCCTTCATGGGCAAGTCATTACCCCTAACAGACAAAGGGACATTTCCTTCACTGTCACAATTCTCCACACTGGTAAAAGGGAAGGTATAGGGATACCCATGTTCCACTAACCTTGCCAACAATCCATCACTTATCAAGACTGTACCCCTTCCTTCCTCAGTTGGGGTATTCCTGTGAGCACTGGCTGTGGCCTGTTCCAATGAAACATCGCTCTGCTGGTCCTGCAATAAATTCCTTCTGAGTTTCACTTAAATTCAGAACCATCTCTGACACATCAGGAAGATTTTCACCTGATCCCCCTGCCAGGGGGCTGCCAGACTCCATACCTGAAGGGCTGGAGGCCATCTCCTCCCCTTCATGGCTCTTTTCACTGACATCAGGCAAGCTAGAGGCATCAGCACATACTTCTCTTGAGACCTTGTTATGACATTCACCGTATTAAACTTAGTCATAATGTCATTCCCTATCAGAACATCCGCTGGAAGTTTATCTCAAATACCTCCCGTCAGTTCACCACTAAAATCCCCCCACTCCAGGTGGATCTTAGCTAAAGGAACAGTTACAGGAAACTCGGCTAAAGCCAGAACAATTATGTTCTTGCCTTCCAGTTTGTCCTCCTCTCGGACATAACATTTCTGAACTAAAGTAATGTCTGACGCTGTATCACGCCAACCACAACAATCCACACCATTTACCTTGTGTTTCTAATAAATTCATCACTACCCCTCCAAGGCTCAGTTCTGACATAATTCACGAGACCCTGTCCTTCCCGTACATCCTCCTTTGGGGCTAGGGAGACAATGTTAACATTTACAGGGTTAGCATCTGCGCTCATGCTTATGGCATTGGCACTCACAGGGGTATCAGGTCGTGGGGTGGTTTGGAACTTTGGACAATTTGGCTTTATTTGCCCAGGCTTCCCACACTGGTAATAGGTAACCGGCCTCCCCTTTTGGGTAAGAGGTTTTCAACTCTGGGCTCCCATGAGCTTTTTTATCCACGTTGGGGTTAGGTTTACTCCTAGGCCCTTCCTTTCTATTAAACTGGGGTGAATGGTGATTATTCTTTCCCAGGGAGTTACTTCTTTCATTACTTCAATTCTGCACAAATTCATCTGCAATTTCAGCAGCCTGCAAAACAGAATTGGGCTTTCCATCGCATATAGCAGCCTGGACCTCATCTGGCACCAAATTTAACATTTGTTCAAGTGTAATTAATTGCATTAACTGTTCAAAATTACTCCAAGCTTTCTCACCAGTAATCCACTTCCTGACAAAACCTAACAGTTTATGAGCACATTCCACATAAGAAATACCATTAGACATTTTAAAATCTCTAAATTTCAACCTGCAAGTTTCAGAGGTAAGCTTAAAACATTTTGACACAGTATCTTTATAGTTTACATTATCCAAGGCTTCATCCATACCCATTTCACTGAGCACTTCCCTGGCTTTCCCAGTTAATCTGGTCAGCAGGACAGGCATACGCTGATATGGTGAATATGGGATATGGTGAATTTCACATAGATGTTCAAAGATAGACAGAAAAAATTCTTTTTCCCAATTTTTGTTGTCCAGAGGGGATGGATTTCCAGGTTGTGGCAGCTTTTTTCTGCTCTTCCAACACTTGGAACTGAAGTCTGGCAGATTCCTGTTGCATCTGGTGAGCCTTCTCCTCAGCAGCTAGCCATTCTATATGCCTTAAATGGGCCTCTTTTTCCATTTTATCAATCCTTTCTTTAGCCTCCTTTTCCATATCAGCTAGCTTTTTCTTCTCCAGTATATAAGAACATAAGAATGGCCATACTGGGTCAGACCAAAGGTCCATCAGGCCCAGTATCCTGTCCTCTGACAGTGGCCAATGGCAGGTGCCCCAAAGGGAATGAACAGACAGGTTATCATCAAGTGATCCATGCCCTGGCACCCAATCCCAGCTTCTGGCAAATAGAAGCTATGGACACCATTCCTGACCATCCTGGCTAATAGCCATTGATAGACATATCTTCCATGAATCTATCTAGCTCCCTTTTGAACCCCATTATAGTATTGGCCTTCACAGCACCCTCTGGCAAGGAGTTCCAGAGGTTGACAGTGCGTTGCATGAAAAAATACTTTATTGTGTTTGTTTTAAACCTGCTACCTATTAATTTAATTTGGTGGCCCCTTGTTCTTGTATTATGAGAAGGAGTAAATAACACTTCCTTATTTACTTTCTCTATACCACTCATGATTTTATAGACCTCTATCATATCTCCCCTTAGTCGCCTCTTTTCCAAGCTGAAAAGTCCCAGTCTTACTAATCTCTCCTCATATAGAAGCCATTCTATACCCCTAATAATTTTTGTTGCCCTTTTTTTAACCTTTTCCAATTCCAGTATATCTTTTTTGAGATGGGCGACCACATCTGCATGCAGTATTCAAGCTGTGCATGGATTTATATAGAGGCAATAGGATATTTTCTGTCTTATTATCCGTCCCTTTCTTGATGATTCCCAACATTCTGTTCGCTTTTCTGACTGCCACTGCACAGTAAACGAAGATCCGTAAGCTTCTGTTCAAATTCAAATTGCTGTTTGTTTCTTATTGCAAGCATTCTCACTGGCTCTGCTTCCTGATCATTTGCCCTTAGCAGATTTTTCAGTTCTTGATCTGGGGCTTTTTTCTTAAACGACAACCCCCTCTGTAAGCACAAATGTTCAAGGCTTTTTCTATGAAGTTCTTCATATGATTGTTGCACGCTCATTGTAACAGATTTTTAACCCTTAAGCTCTCCAATATCAAAATTACGTTTTTGACAAGTGTGTGGTTCTGATCCAAAAACCCAATTAGTCTGTGGTAACATGCATCCCAGCATGACTAAGCCACTGTGACTGGAGTCCTAGTGGGGAGCCAGCTGGATACTCAATTAGGGTGAACTGCAAAGAATGGGGCAGACAATCCCCATAAAGCTGATGGAAAGGAGTACTTGTGGCACCTTAGAGACTAACCAATTTATTTGAGCATGAGCTTTCGTGAGCTACAGCTCACTTCATCGGATGCATACCGTGGAAACTGTAGCTCACGAAAGCTCATGCTCAAATAAATTGGTTAGTCTCTAAGGTGCCACAAGTACTCCTTTTCTTTTTGCGAATACAGACTAACACGGCTGTTACTCTGAAACCTGTCATAAAGCAGATGGATATTCCCACACTTAGATTTACCAAGACAGCATAAAATAGCTTCTTTATTACCCTACTGGTTACTCAGAAGTCCAAACAACACAGTTCTCTTAAACTGATCCAGCCACAGGCCTCCATCCAGGTACCCACGTCAAATATGATGATTTCTGAAAATCTTATTTCATCATATAAAAGAAAAGATTCTACCAATCCCAAAGGATAGGACACATGACCTCCCAAGTTAATGAATGTTTCAGATTTTACCCAAATACACACTACAGCCAATTCTTATTAACTAAACTAAAATTTATTAAAAAACAAAAGAGAGAGAGTATGGTTAAAAGATCAATATACATACAGATATGAGTTCCATTCATTTAGGTGCAGATTCATAGCAGAGATGGTGAGCATTGTGGTTGCAACGAGTTCTTTTAAAATTCAGTTTATAGGTCATAGTCCAATGTCAAAATCTTATACAGTATTCATGGCACACCAGCATCACTGGGACCTCAGTCTTGTACTCAAACTTCCCCTGATGAAGTCTAAGTAGATATGAGATGGCAGATTCAGGACCCAAGGATCTTTTATACCATTTCATGTCTTTTGACAAGTTGGAATTCCTCAGGGAACAAAAGGTAATTAGGATGACTTTGAAGGAAGTCCAGCACCTGTAATTAGCTATACAAGTTAACATAATGCCATTTGTTTGTTCTTCCACCATTCACAGTACATTTCAAAGAGAGATGAATACTGAGATATCCCGTGTTTACAATTCATTTGCATGATAGGATGTTCTTTTGACCTCTGAATTATCAGAAAGAAAAGGAGTACTTGAGGCACGTTAGAGACTAACAAATTTATTTATTTGTAAGTGCCAGAGACTCCATGAAGTCCACCAGGGGCTTTCCTATTGCTACTGATTTTATGTGGACTGGAAGGCACCCAGATACTATGATGATGGGCAGCAGGATAAAACCAGATAGATAGATAGATAGATAGATAGATAGATAGATAGATAGATAGATAGATAGATAGATGAGCTTGCTGCTCTTTGGTGTCTGTTCCAGGACTGGGATTGCCCCAGGAGGACCCTACAGAGTACCCTTGGCTGGGGAAGGAGTTGCTGTCCACAGGGGCTATGGCACAGCCTCTACTGGGGGAGTGAGTCTTGGAGGGAGGGTCAGAGGAAGGCAGCGAGAGGAGATGAAGGGACAGAGATTGACTTCACTACCTGTTGTTTCCATTCTTGTTTCCAGCCCCCGCCACCACAGCCGCCCCTCCGAAGGCAACCACGCCCCAGCCCAGCACCATCACCCGCAGCGGGGAACTCGGGGGCTGCAAACACTCCCCGGACACAGGTACCGGCTTCGGCTCGACCCCGCGGCTTTGGGGGAGACAGAGCCCCCGGCGGCGGCGGGCGGGGAGGGGGCGGCTGTGATTTCACAGGCCCTGGCTGCCCGCTCTGCACGCAGCATCGGCTCCCAGGCTCGCGCCGGCTGTCCCGGGCTGAACAGATCCCCAGCCCGGGTTTGCCGGCCACGTGTTTTCCCTGCGGAGGGAAACCCGGCAGCTCCTTAAACCAGCCCCGGCCGGCGATAAATTCAGCGGCTGACGCCCGAGCACCAGCCCCGTCCTCCCCGCTGGGATCGCTGCCGAGTAGCAGAAACGGCTCCCCCCCGCTGTCGGCCAGCGCGGGTCGCCTCTGTCTCCACCGCACCTTGTGCACCCTGCACCTGTCCCTCCCTCCCCTGCCTGCACCCAGTGCATCCTGCATCCCCACCCCCCGCCTGATCCCTCCTCTTGGAGCGGAGCCGGGGGGCGGGGGGTCGCTGAAGCTCCTGCTTTCGTTTTATTTTTTAGGCTATTTTGTTTCTGCAGAGAAAGCCCCAAAGGAAGGGATGGATTTATCCTGTAACATTTACATCTGGGTCCCCTTAGCCAGCACCTGCCTTCTCCTCTTCATTGCCCTGCTGGCCACCATCACGGTGTGTCAAAGTAAGTGACTCCTCTCCAACCGGCTGAGCCAGATACTCCTTCGCTCCGAGGCCAGAGAGCAGCGTTTACAACTTAAAAATTGTCAGTGATGGTGAATCCACCATGACCCTTGGTAAATTGTTCCAATCGTTAATTGCTTGCGCCTTTAAAATGTAGGCCTTATCTCCAGACTCAATTTGTTTAGCTTCAACTTCCAGCCATTGGATTGTGTATTTCTGTAATTGGTGAGTGGCACAGAGATTCCCCCAGCAGAGAGCAGCCAGGGCCATGAAAATAATTTTGCCCAAAGATGTGGCCTGCTTCTTTTGTGCTAAAATAAATGGTTCTCCCATATATTGTGTCAAATACAGCCCTGGTGCAATGTCCCTGGAGTTATGCCAGGGATGACGTTGGCTAAGTGGGCCAGATCCACCGTTGGTGTAAATCTGCAGAGCTTCATTGAAGTCAGTGGAGCAATGCAAATTTACACCAGGTGAGGATCTGGCCCAATATGTCTTATTATCCCAGAGTATCTGGGCAACAGAAATGGATTCCGTGAAGAGGGCACAGGGTGATCTTTACTCAGAAAGTCCTCCTTCTTTTTCAGGGTCAGATCTCAGTCGCTGCGGTGTAAATTTGGTTGTGCTCTGCTGGCAAACCATGCCGCTTGCTTATTGTAGAAATAATCGCTGCAACCAAATTTTCACTGGCTTTCCAGATTGGTATCGATAGCAAACAGTAACTTACAGACCATGCTCCAGTTTTGAGTTTTAGTCCTGAATACAAACCGAAGGCTGGATCCTGCAGCCATTAATCACACGAGCGGCTCTTATTCATGGGAGCAATTTTGTTGACTTCAATAGGACGACGGGTTGGATAAGGACTACTTGCCTTGGTTAAGGGTTGCCCAAAAGAAAGCTAAAAGAGACAGTGGCTGAACCAAACCTACAGCAAATATAAACTCAACTCTAGCATGCAGAGGATGATTTTGCGGGGTGGAATGCCGGTAATGTGTTGCTGCAGAGTCTTTCTTACTGAACAATGACTCGCTCGCTAATTCTTTCAACTTCATCTTCTTTTCTTTTTAAAGCAACCAGAAGACGAAGATGCAAATGTAAAAGGTTGGTAAACTTCCATTTTGGGGCATTTTCTCTTTAGTTCTTGCGCAGCGTGTTATAAAGTAAATTGCTACCACAAGCCAAAAAGTCCCACGCATCTGCCCCCTCATATGCACACAATATTACTTCTGAGGATTTCTGTGTGTCATTGAGTCCGGAAAATCAGCCTTAAGGTTTTTGCTTTAACCTCTTCCCCTTTGTTATTATTATTTACCATTTAAATTCAGTAGCACCCAATATGGGGTGGGTGCTATACAGACGCACAGGAAGACAGTTCATGCCTCAAAGAGTTTGCAGGCTGAAGACTTTGTGAATATGAATTACAGCAGGCCCTTTCATTAGAGGATCACCCAATGTACCTACCAAATGTTACGTCTCTGTCGAGGATAGTAAGAGAAAGTATAGTTCCTTTGTTTTACCAGCAGGCGTGCTGTCACATTGGGCTCTGTTATCTCAGGGCAGCAAGGTGCTGAGTCCTCTGGCCTGGACCCCGAAAAATATTTTAGCACATGCATGATCCTATTGAAGACAGTGGGAGTACACACATGCTTAAAGCTGAGCTGTACTTAAATCCTTTTCTGGATCAGGGTCAGAGAACTCAGCCCCTTGCAGGATCAAGCCCTAATTGTGTAACAAAAGGTGTGCCATAATATATACACACAAGGGGGCAGTGTTAAAGTTGCTATGGAAACTTGAATGTTCTGAATTTTTGACACCTCAAATGTAAGGCCTATTATCTTGCATTTTTCTGTTCCCAAAACTACTATTGGATTCAAAAGATGCAGTACCTATCATAGAATATCAGGGTTTGGAGGGACCTCAGGAGGTCATCTAGTCCAACCCCCTGCTCAAAGCAGGACCAATCCCCAATTTTTGCCCCAGATCCCTAAATGGCCCCCTCAAGGATTGAACTCACAATCGGTTTAGCAAGCCAACTCACAATCGGTTCAGCAAGAACCTCAGTTTAGCAAGCCAGTGCTCAAACCACTGACCTATCCCTCCCTTTGACACCTGGCCCACTGTGTTGGATTAACATAGAGTTTGGGGCTATTTTTGGATATTTTGAGATTTTTGGATATCATTTCTTTCCCCCTTTTCCAGATAGTTGTATGTTTATTTATTTGAATAAACAACTGCACATTCAGATAACCACACTGTGAAATGTACCTTGTTAGCAGTACAGTAAATAAATAAACAGTAATGACAACTAGCATTCAGGCTCAACCGGACAAGTTCTGTCTGCACAGACTTCATGGGCTCTCCATACACCAAGAGTTTGTAAGATCACGTTCTTATTGTCCATCTTCAAAGCTATTACCACCATTAAGTAAGACTTCGCAACATCACTGTGTTGACTAATGGGAAACTGAGGTAGACAGGTTTAAGTAGCTTTAAGTTGCCGAAGGCCCACAGAAGGTGTTTTAAACAAGGTCACGTCACACTTGTGTGAACCTCATTTTACACTGTCCCAGTGAGTGCACACTAGGAATTTGCACTGGTGGAACTACATTGGTGCACAGATCCATACTATAGACAAGCCCTAAGTGTCAGGGTTGAGATTAGCATTAGGCCATCTGGACTTAATGAATGCTCAGGATAGTATTTCAAACCTCCAGAGCCTTTTCTTTGGCAAATCCGATGTCTGCAGACAAAGCTAAGCTTCACATTCCCCCTTCAGGACGCACATATGTCAGATTTTAAATTTCAGAACAAGCTATTTTTGAGTTACCTAAATGAAAAAATTCATCTGAGAAAAATTAACATAAGAAAAATGCTGTTTTTAATATTTCCCTATTACAGAATGGTTACCAGATTGTTAAAACTCGTTAAAAATGAACTCCTAGGCTGAGATCAAGCATTGGAAATTGCTGCCCAAAGAGTAATGTTTTGTGAAAGGGTTTTAGAATGAAAATGCCTTCTGATCTTTAAATATAACACAGCAATCACAGCTTTGTGACCACACCATAGCAGCTTTACACAGGAACCTAAATATATATATATGCCTCTATTATCTCACTCTATCTCCAGTATGAGATGTTTATTGCCTTGTGAAGTGCCATTCTAATCCACCGCAGAGTGTGTTACAGGCCCCCTCTGTGCTGACCTACAGAGCATGGGAGTTGTTGTGGTCAAGAGCTGAGCATATAACAGAGTTTTTTCAGTTTGGGGGTTGAATTGGGGGAAAAAATGGTTCAGTTAGAACCCAAACTGAATTTTTGCTGTTTTTCCTTGCCAAACGAAAACATTTTGTTTCAGGTCAAATGAAACCTTTGGTTCAACCCAAAACAAGGGGGTTTTGTTCAGTTTTGGATTGTTTTGTGGTGCCTTTTACCCTTTCTTTTTCTAAAAGTTAAATTTCAAAACAAAATGCCATTTTAAAACCAAAACTCCATATTTTTTGTTTCGAAAGGGCTGAACCGACACACTTCAACATTTTTGAAAACAAAATTCCAATTGTTTTTGGCCAAAACTAGTCACTAACTTTGACCCTAATTCGCAAATAGTTTTGGTGACCTGAAAAATACATTTTGTGGTAAAAAAAAAAATTCGCTTAGCTCTGTTACAGCCCCCAGCCAGAAAGGGTTGATTCTTTAGTTCAAGCTATAGCAGCTCATGCTTTTAGCTCTGGATGTCCCCAGTTCAATACCTGGTTTGTTGGCCAAGAGGTCATCATGCCATGATGTATCTTTTTGTTCTGTGTTTGTACAGCACCCAGCACAATGGGGCCTTGGTCAGTGACTGGGGCTCCTAGGTGCTACCGTAATAAATAATAAAAATATTGCCTGTTTGCCAACCCAAAACTCCCATTGAAATTACTATGCTATGTTAATATGGGAGGACTTGTGGCACCTTAGAGACTAACCAATTTATTTGAGCATGAGCTTTCGTGAGTTACAGCTCACTTCATCGGATGCATTCAGTGAAAAATACAGTGAGGAGATTTATATACACACAGAACATGAAAAAATGGGTGTTATCATACACACTGTAAGAAGAGTGATCACTTAAGATGAGCTAATACCAGCAGGAGAGCGGGGGGGGGGGGGGGGAGGGAGAAAACCTTTTGTAGTGATAATCAAAGTGGGCCATTTCCAGCAGTTAACAAGTTAACAGCAGTTGCATCCAATGAAGTGAGCTGTAGCTCACGAAAGCTTATGCTCAAATAAATTGGTTAGTCTCTGAGGTGTCACAAGTACTCCTTTTCTTGCTGGAAATGGCCCACCTTGATTATCACTACAAAAGGTTTTCTTCCCCCCCCCCCCCCCCACCTCCTGCTGGTAATAGCTTATCTTAAGTGATCACTCTCCTTACAGTGTGTATGGTAACACCCATTGTTTCATGTTCTGTGTGTATATAAATCTCCTCATTGTATTTTCCACTGAATGCATCTGATGAAGTAAGCTGTAGCTCACAAAAGCTTATGCTCAAATAAATTGGTTAGTCTCTAAGGTGCCACAAATCCCCCTTTTCTTTTTGCGAATACAGACTAACATGGCTGCTACTCTGAAACCTATATTTTAATTACTTACATTTCCATTGTTTTAAAACTTTTCCCCAAAAAAGCTTAGCAAAGCAATTAATTATGCCTTACTGCATCAAGTTCATCTGTTGATATGTCATTTGTGCACAAAATGAAATCTTGGGAAAATGGGAACAAGTATGTATATTTTTCCTGGCTCCATTCAAAAACAGCTGGATGGATTGCACTCAAACTTCCCCAGAAATTCACCTGAGGGCTGACCAAAGCTTGGAAAGTTTCAGGCCAGAAGGAACATCTTGGAGAATTTTTGAGCTAGGAGCTGTTAAAGGGGAAGTACCAGTTTTCTTTTTGCTATGTGAGGCATTTAAACCTTACGCTTTACTGTAGTGAATAAAATGAATATCACAGATATTGATGGGAAATGAGAATTAAAGGCCCAATCCTGAAAACCTTTATTCACAGAAGCAGTCCTTGCTCTGGTGAGCAGTTCACTGATTTCAATAACAGCTCTTCAGTGGTACGACTCAGATGATAAAGGACTGCTTCTCAACAGGATCTGGCCCCAGGACTGGCACCGGCAACTTCAGCGTTTATTTTTTCCACCACAAATGAATCATCAGTGAAAATATGCACTGTACACTGAGCTAGATCTTCAGCTGCTGTAAACAAGCGTACATCCAAAGGCCCTGGAGAGGTGCAGATTTACACTGCTTGAGGATCTGGCCCGCTAGACTTTCCTTGTAGCTGAACCTGATGAAACAGATTACTATAGAAGGTGATTCCAGACATTACACTGACAGTCCTGGGCCGGATCCTGTGTGTACTGAGCCCTTCCTGCAAGGTGTCAAGTGCCTGAAGTGAATGAAGGTGGTGGGTGTGAAGTAGGAGGCTGGACCTGTGATCCTTTGCTCACACAAGCAGTCCCAGTGCTTTCGGAGCTACAACTCCCATGACTGAGAAGGGTTAGCAGGATCAGGCCCGAGATGCTCACCACTTGTCAGCATTTGGCCGTTAGTAGACTTGGAGAGCACAGCAAGAGGGAAGTAGGAGCAGGCTTATTATTTGCTGCCAGCTTTCCGTCATAAAGTAAAGTATGATGATGATAATGTATTTGTACTATTGTAGCATCTAGGCACCCCAGTCACGGACCAGGACCAGGTGCTACACAAACAGAGAACATAAAGCCCCAAGGAGTTCGCAATCTAGGTATCAGACATGAGACAACAGATGGATACAGACATACAGGGGAGTACAAGGAACCAATGAGACAATACTGGTCAGCATGACAGGCAATGGTCTCAGAGCACCAGCAGCCTGACTGCTGTCAAGTTTTTTGTAGGCATCACAGCAAGAAAGAGTTTGATGGAGGGATTTAAAGGAGGATAATGTATTAGTTATGCAGATGTCTATGGGGAGTTTCTCCCAAGCGGCATGGGAGAAAGCACGAAGGTGCTTGTTTGAAAATTTAACAAGTGGGAGATGGAGGCTCATTTCATGGTCTATTGGAGGCAGCAGTTGATAGGTTGTGAGGGGCCTTGAAAGTAAAGACAAATCGCTTCTTTAGATTTGGAAGGATTCGATTTTTATCAGTAAATGTCAGTAAACACTGATTTCACTGCACACATGCAACCAACAAAAATATATTTCCATCGATAATTGAAATTTACAAATAGGCAAAGTAAGAAAAATGCTGTTTAAGAACTTCTTAGAGTCAACATCCACTTATTTATTAAAAAGAAAAGGAGGACTTGTGGCACCTTAGAGACTAACCAATTTATTTGAGCATAAGCTTTCGTGAGCTACAGCTCACTTCATCGGATGCATTCAGTGGAAAATACAGAAGATGGACTAGCAAATGAATAATAAAAACAGGTATGACTGCTTGATTTAAGGTTGTTTACTTGGTATATTTTGACATGTGATGTTGACAATTTGTGTTTTAATGGTTTATAAAGCTCTAACTTTTTGAATCTCAACATCTGATGTCATGAAATAATTGTCTGTCCTCCATAATTTCCCACAACTGTGAAAATTGATAAAAACAGATAAATATAGAATAAAAAAATATAAAAAATATAAAAATAAATATAAAAATAGACAAAAATAGAAAAAAATCGCTTAAAACCCATACATTGCACAACTGTGAACATATAAATTGATAAAAATCAAAAAAATTGCTTTAAAATAGACATTGACATTATCTTTCAAAGTTATAAAAAAAAAAAAATCAAATTCTGGCAAGCCTACTGATATTTGATACAAGACTTCTCTACAAAGTATACATTTCGATCAGAAGTGTCCCAGGGACCACATGCCCTTTCTCCCTCCACATCCAGAAGCCACACCTGCCTTGCAGAAACCAGGAATCTTAGCTACATGAAAAAGTAATAGCAGGACTGTATAGCAAATAAACTCACTCTGACATGGTGGGTACTGACAGCTTAGTTACTCCCCTCCTTTATTCTTGTATCTATTTCCTGTTCTCTGAGCAGGACCTTACAGTACATTGCACTGGATTTCCCCCGTTGCCTGCAGCCCCCACTGCCCTAATCAGTCCAGGTCACTTTGCATTATAGTTCTCTTCCCTGAGTGCTTGTTACTCCTCCAGGTCTGGCAGACAAATTTGATCATGGTTGTACTTCCTCCAAAAAAGCTAATTCTTGCCATTTTATCAAAGGTCTCATAATATTTAATGTTATGGTGCTAACTCCAGGAGTCCTGTGATTATGTAAGAGTCTGGGCTTTCATTTAAAAAAAAGACATTTTTAGCCCTCATGATTGCAGAGAAATGCCTGAAAACATAACCTGAGTGTACCCCAAAGGCTCAGAAACCAGAGGCAAATAAAAATAATCCAAATGCATTTTTTTTTTAAATCTCATGCTGTTAAAGGCAGCCTCACGATTACTGGGGGCCTGACTCGTGATTTTTGATGTTTGGGATTGGCAATACCGTGTCACAAAGAACAATACAAAGCAGCTGTACAGGATCCAGATTGGGGACTGTTTTGCTGATCAAAAGGCTTTCTAAGGTCCTGAAAGAATTATGGTGCGGGCTACAGCAAGCAGAAGGTGTCACTAGTTGATGACTGGCAGATGCTTCACCAGTGTGAAGTGTACCCGGAAGTACTCCATGGCCTACAGCTTGAGAACCATTGGTTTAGATGAAGGCCAGATGAGCTGATCAATGCTGGTGGATCTTGCTTTTTTACAGAACTCATTTTCTTGTTCACTTCACATCCAAATAAATTGTAAACATTGCCTTTTCCTCTCTCTTTAGACCTATGCCTGGGAGCAATGGAAAACCCAGCTTGCCAAACAGATACGTGTAACGTGACTGAGCCATTTGCATCTGGATCTCCAAACGGGAGCTGTCACTGCATAAACAAACCCTACGTCTATTTCCATTACTCATTCTCGCTCTCACTTTATTTTTTAAATTGTTCTTGTACTTTCTAGTCTGTTAATTTTTAAAAGGCAAACTGTTCAAAAAGAGCATATAGATAATGCTGGACATCAGCCACTTCCTACATCAGCTGTATTGCCTGGATTTTAAAATGTAGCTCCCTCCAAAATTTTCTTGGTTGAATCTTTCAAGCTGGTTTTCAAGTCATAAAAAAGTAAAACATGCCAAATGATATAGTCCATAACTCTGGCAAAACCCTCACTTACTGAAGCCTGTGGCGCAAATCCTGAGATTTTTATTGTCCTTACTCAGATATATACCAATTGACTTCAACAGCTAAGTAAAGATCTCAACATTCAGTCTGTTGGAATTTTGCCTGCACAAAAACCGAGTAAAGACTGCCAGATTAGGCCTGCCACGACAAAGTGCGTGATCCTGCCGCAACTGAAGTCAGTGGTAAAGCTCTCGTTCACTTCAGTGATGCAGGACTGGGGCCTTAGTGAAGACATTTCTATTTGTGATGCTGTCTACAATGGGGAAAGGAGATAAAAGGTATTTAATCTAATGAGCATCCCAATGCTGAGCTAACTGGAAGTGGGGCATTAGCACAGGTCCTAGGCACTGCTAGGATTTTTAATTTTAAAAGGGGGCAAAAAGCCAGTTAACGTTGAACAATCACAGAGTTTAATATCAGCAACTGGCTAAAATCAATAAAACTGTAAAACTTTTAGAAGACATGATGCAGGGTTGAAAGGGCAAATGCTAAAAAAGGCTGTTATTTCTTTCACAGTCCCTAAGACTAAAGATTGCAGGCTCCAGCATTCTGCCCTTACTCAGGTAGACTGTCACTGACTTCAGTGGGAGTTTTGACTGATCAAGGTATGCAGGATTCATCCTATTTGTAGGCACCCACAGGCAAGTGGCAAAAGAGTAAATCTAACCCCACTCTCCTTTCCGCAAACCAGTGTTTTAAGCACAGAATGAAAGATCTTATTTTTTTCAACTACGTAGTTGATGTAAATATTTTCTTGCTATAATTGCCATAAAGTTTTTCAATATTTCTGTTCCCAACAATCAGTATAAATACTGTGGAACAATTCAACTATACTTCTAGATAGTCTCACTGAAGTACATTGCCTTGTCTTCTCCTTAGCCTCAGAAAAGCTAGAGAACTAAATAAAAATATAAATGACCTTTTTGCTGAGAGATTTGAACAAGAGAAGAAAGGTGTTGCTGTGGTTAAAGATTCAGGCCTAGGCTTCAGGAGACCTGGGTTCAAATCCCAGCTCTACCACAGTCTGTAACCTTAGTCTCTTCCGTACCTTGCTGTCATGCTAAACCCGTAAATACTTTGGGGATAAAGGCCTTATAAGTCTGTAGATACAAGATGTTGACTGGCAAGAGAAATCTCTGACTACATATTTGTACACAAATCAGCCAGGCAAAATGTTCCCGTATGTATTGGCTCTATCATAGTAATACAATCCAAATTCACTTCCAACATCCCAAGTGTATCTCTTCTTAAACAATGGATCTGGTAATAAGTGTGGCCCCAATTTAGTAAAGTCTTAAGCTTGTGCCTATCTCAAGACTTGTGAGTAGTCCCATTCACTAGACCAAGAAATACTTTTGTGACAGATGTTGAGATGCCATGTAATAATCTATGAATACTGAGATATAATAATGTTATGAACACTGCATGTGACCTGCTCTGTAAAGGGAAGTTACAGTATAGTATGGTGGGTTATTGGAATTTCCTGAATGAATGTATCGATCTGACTTAATAGGAGGTTGTGAGAAAAGCAAGCAGGAAAGCAACAAAATAGCTAGAGGTAAGCAACCCTTACCCTCCCAACAAACACAGGGGTCAGGGAGGGAGGGAGGGAGTATGAGGGGCAATTGTAAGACAGTGGCATTCCTCCAGGCCCTAGACCAAAGTGACATAGCTGTTCTGCCAATGTAAGGAACTAGTAGATCAAAGGGCTATAAACAGTTAAGTCTCCTCAGGAGAAGAAGAAGGATCAATTGTCACTATGTGTGACAGACCCAGAGATAGGCTCTGTGGAGGAGTCTGAAAGATTAGGATCTTTCCCCAGATCCAGGGAATGGTAAGCCTTAGGGAAAGACAGGCAAGCATGTAGGGTGTTGATTGTTTTAAGATTTGTTTTCTCTGAAAGGCTTTTGTACTAAATAAATAATGCATTGCTTGACTAATGCTGTCTGGTCACTAGTTATCACTGTCATTGCTCCGGAGGGGATGGAACTGCAGGTACTGAGGATAAATCAGACCTGCTGAGGTAACCACGGTTGATCACAGGGGACTACAGAGTGGGAGAATCACATAATCCCATACCAAGAGAGGTGATGGCGTGAGGCCCAAGACCTGAGAGGGGTGCATGTGAAGAGACCAGAAGGAGTCAGAAGTGCAGTTAACTCAATAACTTGGACAACTTTGTTACACAATGCATAACTAATCTTTGGAACTCATTGCCACAAAGTATTATTGAAGCCAAGAGCATAGCAAGATTCAAAAAAGAACTAGACATATATATATATACACGTCTAGTTCTTTTTTATATATAGTTATCTATATAGTTATATTGCAGTAGCACCTAGAGGCCCAATTGTGTTAAATGCTCTACCTAAAAATCATAAGAGACAGTCCCTGCCCCAGAATTTGTAGTCTACATATACAAAGGGTAGGAAGGGCAATAGAGGCACAGAGAGGGGAAATGACTTGCCCAAGGTCACAGAGCAGGTCAGGGGCAAAGCTGAGAGTAGCACCCAGGTCTCCTCACACCCAGTCCATTGCCATAGCCTCTGGAAAATAATGGCCCCATTGAGTGAATCCACAGTTACAGTAGACAGATTTTTTTTTTTTAATGTTTGTTTAGAATGGAGCATTTACACTCATGCTGCAGGACATAAACCAACTTCTAGCTTACCAGAGGTTCAGAAGAACCTTCCCCTTTGGGGAGATTATTCCAAAATTGTCCACCAAAGCATTTCTTACAGTTTCCTCTGAAGCATCTGGCCACTGTCAAAGACAGGATACTAGGCTAGAAGGAACCCTAGCATGATCCAGTATGGCATCTCCTCGGTTCCTAAGAGAAGCTGTATTCTGGGTTGATACTTTCCCCTAAGGAATAATGGGGGACTCAGAAATAGTCTCTGCACCTAAAACTATATATCTGGGGTCTGTAAAACAAGCATTACAATCTCACTGCACTGATCTCAGACTAAGAAAGTTGAGCTGTCATAAACAGAACTGTAGGAAATCTCACTAGTTGGAACTCTTAAAAAAGTTTTGTCCTTTTCTTTCCCCCATACACATCAAAACAAAGCTGAAGTGTGTTGCTCTACTCAGTAATAGCATTTGTCATTTTAAAAACAATAATTCAACCACTTTTTACAGTAACTGAGAGAAAGATCAGAGAATCCCTCTAGCTGTGACATCCCCTGAGAGCTGTGTGCTCATCGAGGCATTTTAATGACATTATGTTAACTGCACAAGTAAAGGCCACATAGTTTGTGTTGGTTTTCAGAACCCTAAGAGAAGTTTGTGACCTTTGTATCTGTTTACACCTATTACGTATTTACAAGGGCTTCCATGCCTGTCTAAAACTACAGGCAATCAGCAGTCTAGTGACTGGGAACCTATCCTGGGAAATCCTACTATCAGCCTTGCCACTGAGTTGTTTTCAAACCACAACTTCTCTGTGCCTTTGTTCCCACTGCTGTAAAGACCCAGCCTTGTCAAGATCTCGGGCGTTTTGGATGGAAACTGCTGTATAAGTGCAAAGTATTATAACTGCAGTGTGTTCTCGTGAGTGGTGTGGGTAATGCCTAGTGCCATAAACTGTACAGTTGTCCAAACATCAAACAAGTGAACATCACTCCAGAGAAGGCCCTTTTTCTGGTGAAATCCCTAGGGTTCAGGGCATCTGACCACAACAAGGCTCGGCCAAATTCACCCAGTCAAAGCTCTGTCCAAGTCCTTCCTCAAGTGACATGTTGGAGCTGTGGAACCCACAGAAGTAGCCTCCCAGGCTGTCTCTGAGGAGTTTGGATTCTGAGGCCTTTTGAGTTATTTCTGGGACTTCCTACAGGGCATCTTCTCCAGAGACCAACCCTTCTGGCTCTGCATGGAACCACCAAACCTCAGATCTGAGGCAGGTTTCACAGCCGCGCCACTTGGGCCTGGAGAGCATCACTTTGCAGAAAACCTCTCCAGCCGTGGAGTTGTTAAAGCTCCCACACACCAGAAAGAGACTTGCTTGGTGATTCTTTGGGAAAAGGGCCGGGACACTGGGCAATTCTTTGCTAAATAGCCTTTTCCTAACCAAGGGAGACATACCTTGTGCCCAGCAGAGGATGGGAATTTGCTGGGAATGTGGTGCATCTCTTAAACCCATTGATTGTTCGATATTTTGCCAGATCCTCAATAATGACCAGATCCAAAAGGATCCTATAAACTTAACAACATATGAAATATATTTTTTTAAAGTTCACAATAGAGTGAAGCACAGAACTAGCTCCAGGGCAGAGATTTCATACCATTTTCCCGCATAGAGCAAGAGGAGGGAAAATTATCTAGATCACTGAGTTTGCCACAGAGAGAGGAACTAGGGAGTACAGGAAATGGGTTAATTACAGCATCAACCCCGCGGTGGCAGGGCATTCGGAACATATCTGCATTTCCAACCATAAGGCTTGAAAAGGTTCCATGGTCCAGCAGCTAGGCACCCAGGCCTACATTTTCAAGTGACTCATGGTTTTAGGTGCCCAGGTCAGGGCACCCTGATGGAGCCTGATTGCCAGAAAGCACTGAACATCTTCCCTCTAAAAATCAGGCCCTAAACACTGAGGCACCCAAAATCACTAGTCACTTTTGAAAATTTAGTCTACAAATACCTATTGTAGGGCTCTGGAAAAGGCAGTGTCAGGAAAGAGAACCAATTCTTTTCTCATATCCACACTGGCTCCCTTAAACTCTACTCACACTGGATTAGCATCTGCAATGATCCCTGATGTGTACAGAAAGGTGCTGCAGGAATATGGTAAAATGTGCTCATCATGTATTTTATTGTCACAAAGAGAGACATTATATTACGCACAGGTATTAATGTCTTTTAAATGAATGACCTGAAGAAGAGCTCGGTGCAGCTCGAAAGTTTGTCTCTTTCACCATCAGAAGTTGGTCTAGTAAAAGATATTACCTCACCCCCCTTGTCTCTTTCACATCCTTTAAAATAGCATTTCCCATTCAGTCCTTCCGAACTTCATTATATACCACAGCTACGCGAGATGTATAAATAATGTTAAGCAGAACATAACCAAAACCAAATACTATTCCATTTTTTAAAGTAAGTCCCTGTAAGCGACAGAGCATGCTCAATAGATTTTTTCAAATCAAATGGACCGATTCTTTCACGATTCATGCATTAAATAATATTTATGGTTAGTTCTATTGCCTATAATCTACAAGATTCAATATTGTACTCTTATATTACAGTGCAACACTTCTTGTTACACATAAATCATAGATACACTATGGAATCCTACAAAACAGACAACCATAAAGACAAATACAATCCTGAACCATGTGAACAAATATTTTGCTGTTATTTTGGAATATTGCATTATCACTTTTTAGGAAGAACCCCCTATTGCTTTCCATGGGGAGTTCTGTTTACAAACAGGTGGCACAAAAATGGTCCCTTTAATTTAAGGATTAAAAAAACCCAGTGAAAATAAAAATGAATGTGTCTGTTCTAAACCATAAACAAGCCAGAGAGAGAACAATAGCCTCACCTCAGACATGGCTATGGGGTTTCACCTGTGGATGTCACTATCCCTATACAAGGGGGAAGGGTCCGGCTCTCAAGTGAACTCCCGTCTCAGAGTGGAGTCAGCAACTAGCTCACTGGAAAGCAGTCCATTGTTACGGCAAATGTTCAGGTGCACATTATAGCCAATTCTAACTGGCAAAAACAGCCAGCAGGCCACTCACATGGCATTTGAAGGGGGCTATCCCTCGGTGAAAATAACAGTGTTGATCCAGACCCATTGAAGTCCATGGAAACCTTTCCATGGACTTCAAAGAATGTGGGGATTAGGCTTATAATGCTGTGTATATTGAAAGTGCTGGGAATGTGAGGAAAATTCAGAATAATTTAACCCTAAAGCCTTAATCCAGCAATTGGATCCATGCAGCCGGACCATATGCCCATGTTAATCATGTTGTTTAATGCATCATTAGGAGGCACCCAGATAATACGGCGACGAGTACAGTAAACGAACCTATATAGAATAGAATACTACGTGGAGGCCCAGTGACTTCCTGAATTAATCTACTGCCAGGATCAGTAGATTATATATATATTTAGTTTTATATTTAGATTGCTATATATATTTAGTAATTACTGTTTGAATTGAAGATTAACATAAAAATTTTATGAAAGAAACAAACAAAAATAATAACCCTCCTATGTATTGTCTAAAAATACATTTGCAGTCCTACCTATTTTGCATAGCTAGTTTCATCCCAACATCTATTTCAAGAAATTTTGTAACTATTCAGATACTCTTCATGCTAAATCACCAAACTGCACTCTGCTGGCCAAAAGTTATACGGCACCAGAAGTATTTTCTCAGCATTCTCAAGTGCATAGCACAGCTGTAGCTGCTGTAAAAAGAACAGCAGCATTTGAGATCACACAGCCAAATGCAGCAATTGTTCCTCTTCTAGATGCCAGTCCAAATCCAGATTATTTGGTTTGATGCCCAAAATGGATTCCCCTTCCTAGATTCCTTCCTAAAGATAAAGCTAAGTAATGCCTCGCCTTTTAAAATAACCAGTCTTCACGGATACACTGATAGGCCTAGCAAGATCTCCATGATTTTTGATCTTAAAGAAGCCTCTTGTCACAATACTTATGCAACATGCTCCCTCTCTCAAGGCTAGAGCTGACTGTTTCAGAGGGAAGGGAAGGATATTTAGCTCAAAAATCTCAGCATCCCTGATAGGAGAAGCATATGTATCCTGCTCCACACACTGGCATGCCGGGATACAATGGGACTGTGCCGTGCTAGTTTACAGGCAATTGCACTAATTATTTCACATTCACCATCTTTTCTAGTTACATTGATTATAAATTTAAGGCAAAGGTGGCGACTCTCTGTTGAAGGGTATCCTGC